AACTCCACGTGGACTTTCTTCATATTTAGGTTTTCACTTTCTCTAACATTCACACCAACAGAAAAATGCATGTCTTCTGTCTGCCTGACTATTTAGCACAGAACATTCCCTCTTTCCCTTTCCAAGTTACCTAATTACCCTTCTCTTCATGGCTTTTGCAAAACAAAGAAAACAAGCAGTCTAGAGATATGACAAAATTTGTGAAACCCCTGATGGCTAATTTCTAATTTGGAAAGTAGATCTACAACATTAAGGAGTGGCTGTGTGCACTACCCTAAGGTTTATTCTACAACCCTCCAGAGATGCTACCCTAACTGGCTCACTCACACACAGTTCACAAATGCTACACTATTTTAAAAGGACTTAGAGTTACTTAACTATCAACCTATTTCAGACCTTTTTCCTTTAAAAACATGTAAATAAGATGTTCTCTTTACACACATACACAACAAACACACAGATACACAATTTAAGTGCCCAAAGGAACTGCACTGTATTAGATACTTTGACATGTGTTTTTTTCCTGGGAGCTTATAATAGGCAATACTGACTCAGACAAACATGTAGTAGGCATTTGGCAACTACTACCTAAATCATTAAACTGTGAAGGGACAATGAAAAGTCTGTCCCGTATATGACAGACCAAGGGTTTTTGAGGTGATGAACAAAGATAGGCATAAAACTAAGAAAAGCAGACCAATATCTAGTGATACCCATGTCCAGTAGGCTCAGCATGCTGGGAGACCATAAATTCTTTGCTTATCAGACCAAAGCAAATAGAACCGTGACATCATAGCTTGAGAAATTTAAAAGGAAGGTGGCTCAAATGAAGCAGGAGATTCTTAAAGGGAGAAATTCTGATAATATCATAAAGATGCAAATTAACATAACAGGAATAAATTTTTTAAATAAGATACCAACCAAGTGGCTGCACAGGCAGATATCTGATAGGCTTCCATTTTCAAAGTGTGTGCACAAAGAAAAAAAATGTCTAATGTGAAGGATGCATACAAAGTGTCAGGAAGGCTAAAGCAGAGAAAAAAATCAAAGATTTTTGAGAAAAGTATGAAGAAATATAAGTGCCTTTTTCTTGTATGAGTCGTTTTCTTAAAGCTCAATCCAAAAAGAAAAACAAAGGTAGAGATAGTTCAGCTAATTGTATTAATAATACAGCCAATGTTCATAGCAGAAAAGCAGAACTCTTGCTATGATTTTCTCTATCCTAGTTTTCAAATAAAAAGGGTCAAGCTTAACAAAGAGAATATTATTTATTTATTTCCTAAGTGATTATTTTAATTCTTTATTAAGTAATTCCTAAGTGCCAGGAATTGTGCTAGCATCTGAAAAAAACTTTAGCAATAAGGTAAACATGGTCTTTGCCCTCATGGAACTTGAATTCTAGTGAAATTAAAACTGAAAGGAAACCTGCCAGCTCCCTTAATACAATCACACACAGATCCTCCAAGGTTAGCAAAGAAGTTATCTATCATTCCTTTGGCAACCCTGAAGTGCTAAAGATTCATTTTATTAATGGAGCCATCAGATTTCTTTACGGCATCTAGAGATGATGAGGAAATAGTAATAGAGCACTTGGCTGATTGAGTTTGAAACTCCAGATCCAAATAAATCAGAGCTAAAATACTGAAAAACTTTATGGGGTAACTGTAAAACATATAGTGAATCTCATTCTTTAAAAAATTTTATAAGAATTTCAAAAAAGTATTAAATGCTTTTTTAAAACAATTCTAACAATACAGAGAGAATACAGAAAAAAAAGATATATGGCATCACAATAATGCTGCAACTGAGGTCCATGTGCACATGTTATAATGCAGTGGTGTGTTGGAGCCTGCTCCTACGGACTTGGTGTGGCCAACTGTGTGCATCTCTTCCTAACTCTGTATTTAGTGATGGCACACTACTAACGTGAACCTGTTCATGGTGGGAGTATTTACAGCATGGAAGGTGACAAGTGCTACAAACTAGATTTCTTTCTTTCCTCCCTTCATTCCTCTCTCCCTCCTTCCCTCCTCCTCTCCTTACCCGTTCTGGAAAGACGGTGGTTAAACATCTACCAGGACATCAATATCTTAATGTAATATGCTGTGACTTCTGAAGAATTCTATTTCCAAAAAGGTTTTTCTGGGTGTGTATGTTTTTTAATTTTCATAGATACCACCAGATTATTTTTCCATAATGTAAAAATTTCTAATGTGACTACAAGCATATGAATGTGTGTGCATGTGTATGTATATATATAAATATAAATACGGACTCATACATAACTGAGTCCTCACTAGTCATATGATGAATGCTACATCTGCTTTTAATTTCAGCCGATCTGAAGACTGAAAAGTTGTATCCCATCATTGTTGGAATCTGTGCTACCCAGATTACAAATGAGATGGGGGATGTTTTCCTACATTATCAGCAATTTGCATTCCTCTTCTGTGAGTTGTCTGCTCATATACTTCACCCTTTTTATTTGTTTACTTTTTGATATCATTTAGTCTGACCATGAGTTATATGAACTTTTGTTCTATCTTGTGTTACCAATATTTTTCCCTAGTCTATTTCTGATCTTTAGACTTTGTGTTTGGTTTCTTTGGTCAAACATTTTTTGCTGACAAAGTGTTTATCTTTTCCTTTGTCGTTCCTGGTTTCCATGTTTTACTTAAGCAGTTCTCCTTTTATCCAAGGCTTCAAGGAAAGTCATATGAGTAAGTAGGGAAGAGCTTGGGCTCTGCACACAAACAGATTCAGTATGAATACTAGCTCTGTCACTCTGAATGCCAGTCGCTCTAAGTCTCAGTTTTCCCATCTATAAATTGGGCAAAAAAAATAGTACCAAATTTACAGGGCTATTCTGATGAGTAAATATTTAACTATACATTGTGAAATTTGCTGTTCATTGTACTATCTCCCCTCTCTGGAAAAGTCCATTCTGGAGAAGATTTCATTTGGTTATATTAGTTCACCAAATATTTTCACTGATACAGTATAAGATCTGAAGCTTTACATGTCTTTTTCTATGACTGATGGGTGAAATGTCAGACGGCATCCTGGCTGCTCCCCCTCCCCTCAATAGTCCCTGGACATCCCATTGTTCTAGCTTCAGTGGTTACAGGCTAGTGCTTGTCTGATTTTCTTTCCCTGCTAAGAAATATATTCTTTCTCTCTGGAAGCTTAGAAAATTTCTTTGTCTTTGTCCTTCCAGGATTTCACTAGGAAATATGGATTGTACATATGTCTACCTATGTATACTCCTGTTTATATACACCCCCATTATACACACACATATACGCACACACCCCACTACATATAGCTCCAGTGTATACAAGCCAATATTCAATACATATATCTGTATGTGTATTTATACAATTATGTACATGTGAAAATATGTATATGTGTGTACATATATGTGTATGTCTAGATGCATATGTGTGTACATACATACGAACATATGCATATACACATATATATATATACGTACATGCACACACACTTTTTTATCTTCAGGAAACCTGCATGGACCTGAAATATTTCAAACAGAAAAATATGTATAGATATATGTGTGCATGTATATGTACATACATGTACAACAAATAAATATGTATGCATATGTATATATACATATACACACCCCAATTTTTTTCTTCTGGACATCTTCCTGGACCTTGAAATTCCTCACACAGAAATCTCAAGCCTTTATCTCAAAGAATTTTCTTTTGGTTTTTGTTTATTTGTTGTTATTTTTGCTTTTCCATCTGCTTTGTTTTTTCTCCTGAACATTTTTTTAATTGCAAGTGTCCTGGAACTATCTTCTGTCTCATAATTTTTACTCAACATTTTGTTCCTGTGTATTTTTGCTCCTTTGTATTTTTGCTCCGTGTTGTGAGATAATCTTTATACTTGATCTTCTAGGAATCTAATTTAGTTTTCAGAAGAGACTATTTTCCTTTCAAATTATTCTGAATTTTTAAATTTGCAAAGCATTTTTAAAATTAATTTTAGAATAGTGGGGATTCTAATTATGTCTCCTGAAAAAAAATCCTCTTACTTTTTTGGTAAAGTTTTCACGTGTCAATTCCATTGCTTCTACGTCAATAGAAAAACCTTTTCAACTGGTTCATTTGGCTGTTTACATATATTTTAGTTCTCTCTCATTTCATGCACATATTGGCATTGTACTTCCTGCCTATGTGAAGTTAAGCAGGACTTACTTTTGTCATTAAAATGTGAGAAATGTGTTGCATGTAACCTCAGGACAGAAGCTTTAAAAGCCAGTCCGCACTTCACAACACTATTTTCTGTCACAGCAACCACCACTGTTCCAGTTAGTGGCTTTTCTGTCACCCTGATCCTTGTAGTAAGGATGATAATGCCATGGAGAAGAGTGCTCCAGCCAACCCTCAGAAACTATAGAGCCTGGGTGAGAATTAATCTTATTTTAAGCTACTTAGTTTTAGGGGTCATTTGTTATTGCAGCAAAGTCTAGTATATCCTGACTGATACAATGTGTTTAGTCTTCCTCTGTCAGATAAAAGTTTGCTTTTCTAGTCACTGTTGAGTACTCCTGCAGTGACTTGCAGAGATTAAGCTATTGGATTTTTTTCTGGAATGGGAAACCATAGGTGCATAGAAAGGGTGTTTCTTATACTGTTATGCCAGCTGTGAATAAGCTGGTTCTTCTCCTAGTAGATGAGAATGGGTCCTTTCTAATCTCAAGTTTCTTAAAGTACAAGTAGCATTTCTCTTTTACATGTCAACATTGGCAGGCATTCACCTTACCCATATAGAAAAAAACAAGTTTAAATTGAGTCAGCAGAATTGGGAACCCTCCAAAGAGCAAAAGCAGCAGGTAGGAAGATGGGGGCTCCTAACAAAATCTCAAAAGTCATCATCTTGACCTATCCCAATGTTTAAGGTAAAGTAAGTCTTCTTCTCTGTTGCTTGTCCCTTAATTCTTGTCTAATGCCTTTGAGAAGGGAGTTCTGTACCTTCTTTCTTCCTAGAAATCTCCAGAGAATGGGGAGTCACAGACACACCGTGGAGGTTCCTCTAGTCTTTCTTCTTTGGTTGCTGTGATGCTCCAGAAAAGGAGTTAAGAGGGGTAGGTGGATGAAATGAGTGATTGGGTAGTCATCTGCACAGACTCTCCCTGAAGATTTAAGGAGAATAGGAAAGATGCCAGGTGACTAGAGAAAAATAAATGTTCTGGTTTTCCATTCTACGATAAAGATATCTGCACCCGAATGTTTATGGCAGCACAATTCACTATTGCAAGAATGTGGAAACAACCCAAGTGCCCGTCAATCCATGAATGGATTATCAAAATTTGGCATATGTTTACAATGAAATATTACTCAATCATAAGAAACACCTCTTATACTTTCCTGGATTAAACTTAAGCCCATTATCCAAAGTGGGGCACCACAAGAGCAGAAGAATGGGATCCATTTGTACTCACCAAATTTGTATTAACTAATCAATACATAAATGCACATATAAAAATAACATCTATTGGATGTTGGGCAGGGGGGAGGGGGGAGGAGGGAGGAGGGGACGGGTATTTGTATACACAAGGAGTGCAATGCGCACCACCCGAAGGATGGACATATTTGAAACACGGACTTGGGGGGACCAAGGGCAACATACGTAACCTAAACATCTGTACCCCCATAATATGCTGAAATAAAAGAAAAAGAAAAAGAAAAAAAAAAAGAAAAAAAAATGTTCTGGTTTTCAAAAGAAATAGATAGTGACTAATGGGGAAAGAACACAGATTCCAGAAGTTGGTGAGCTTGATATCAAGCCTCAATTACATTTTAATATGCATATTAAATAAATTGTGGATGCCTCAAAAGAAGAAATTATTACCACAATTAACATTGGTTTGCCTAGATAGGGTTGCCAAAACCTGAGCAATTCAGAGAAGTACCACAGACATAAATAAGCTCAGTGAAAGATTTTACTGTTTCAAGACATCCTTTTAAAGAACAGAGAGAAATGATGAGTAGTGAGATGGATTAATAGCTGGTTAAAAAAATATTTTCAAACAGTGTTTATTAATGACTTTAAGTCAATACGGGAGAAAATCTGTATGGAAAGTTTTTATCCTTTTCAATGACATATATAAATATCAGGTACAATAGGAGAAATTTGGCTTAACAGAAGCTCATATAAATAAGACCCAGGGACTTTAGTTAGCCACAAGGTCAAAAATATTACACAAATGATGTGATTGCCAAACAGCATAGGAAATCTTAGGCTATATTATAAAGATGTACAGAGTCCAAGAAGTAAGCAAGGTGAGACAAGGTCAAAGGAACAGATTTTTATATTGACAAGCCCATATGATGCCTTTGTGCTAATAAGAAAATGGAAGCCCTTCCTCTGCAAAGACACAGCAAGGGCACGTAGCCGGGTGGGCTGGAGTGCAGAGTAGAAGTCAGCCTTCCTTTGCCTCCTTTTCTAAGACACTCTCACAGCCTTGATAACAAAACCCTATACTCTGGATTGCTCAGACCTCAGCTGGAAGATTTAGCTCTGAATTGGGTATTTCTTGTTAAGAGAGACTTTCAGAGTAGGATACTTTCAAAGATGAACAGAATAGCAATTAGTTTGAAAAGTAAGTCATACGAGAGAGGATTTAAAAACCTGGAAAAGCCAAAGCTTGATAAGAAAAAACTCAGGAGACCATGAGAACAGACTTCAACTATTTGAAAGAAAGGGGATTTAGATTTATGCTAGCTAGATCCAGAAGGTCGAATGAGGACTAGCAGGTGGACTCACAAGGCCTTGTTTGTACTCAAGAAATACGTCAAAGCAAATTTATAACAAGACATGTTTTAAGTTAAAGGAGTATTTTTCCACAACTATGTCAATTCAAAAATGGGCTGGCTTCTTTTGAAAAAAGTTCCTTATAAGTAAAGAATCAGTTCTACGGGTCAAGAATTTTACTGAAGAGCCTCCATTGAGCAAAGGTTGAACTAGCAGAACTTTTCCAAGATTTCATACAATTTCACAGCCTGCAATGTTCGACTATGCACATACAAAAAGTTATAAGAGATAAAAATATAAATCACATGCATTTTTTGTCTTCAAGTAGTTTGTTGTCTATCAATGGACACATATATGTATATAACTATGATGCTAAGCTTTAAACAATTATTTCACGAACACCATCAGTATACAGAATCAATCCAAACGATAGACACCACCTATTTTATTTTATTTTTATTCTCACCTGTGAGAGTTAGACCTTGAACCATCCAATAAGTTGCACACATGTTAATTCTCTTGTCTTTAAATACTTAACCCCAGTAGCAATACTAAGAACATATTTATTCACAAGATTCCACTAAAATCTATTTTACTCTAAGGTATCAGAAAACAGATCTGAACACAGAGCCCTCTGCACTATGAACTCTCATTCATGTTTCAATGTTATTTAAGCCAGAATTATCATTCATGCTTCCTAAGGATCCCATAAATCTGGTTTGCCCAGAAGTGCCCTGGCTTGTGGCATTATGTATAGCACAATGACTAATACCTCTCCCTTCACTCTCAAAAGTGTCCAGTTTGGACAATAAATTATATGGTCACCCTGATACTACCCTTCCTTCTAAATGCCCTATCCTCCACTTTGTGGAATATAAAGAAAGCAGCATAAAAAGCACTAAGTGAGTAGTTCAGAATTGAATAAGATATTTTACTGGTGATCACAAATATTACTTATATGCCTTTGATACAAAGCAAATAAAACAGTTACCCGAACAAAATACAAAGTTCTATGGAAGTATGGTGGAGAGAAAAAAAAAAAATTCTAACCAAAGACAAGAGAAAATCTCTCTGAGAGAATTTTCTTACAACAGAAATGGGTTAAAATTTCAGTAAGTGGAGGGAGCATTTCAACCAGAACATGGAAATATTTTTGCACTCATGTTTATTCATTCATTCACCTAAGAAATAAGAATATAAGTAAAATTGGTTCAAGGAACACTATATTATGTAGGTAATAAAATAGGGAACTAGAAATATCAGGTTAGTCAGATATTCCTATATCAATGTTCCTTGTTTGTTGTTGTTAACAACAGAAATTGAAATAGAAAGAAAACAAGAGTAAATAGCTTTTCCAAAGTACTTTCCATACTATTGTTAGCAAATGTGATGCAGTGTAACCATCCTGAATAGTAATGGTTTGTCCCTCAGTGGCTTTCTGCATTCAAGTTATTTTTTTCCTCTTTCTCCTACCTAGGGATTTATGATTTAACAGGCTGTAATAGGCAAGATAAAGCCATTCATCATGCAGGCTTAATGTGGGAAAGTAAATTTAACTTGGTGAGCTTGATATATAAATATTGGCCTTTTTCGGAACACACAGAGCATATTTACTTGAGTGTAAATCCAGGCTATATACTATGTCCAACAGATTCCTCAGGTCTGAGGTACAGTGGGGGAAGGGTCTTTCAGTGCTTTAGGTTGTGGAGACCACTGAACCTACTACTGGAGGTGGGAGAAAGGAGTTATGTATTTTCTAGCTTCCCCAGCCCCTATTCTTTTGAGGGCATTATAATACATTTTATCTCAGTATTTATGTTTATATCTATATTCCATGAATAATGGGAATTAACATCCAGTCACCTGGAAATTCCAGGTTGGTCTTCTTTTAGTGGATTTTTTTTTTCTCCACATTGATGCTTGGAATGTCCCTGCTGATAACAGGAAAAATGAAGATGTAATTTTATGAGTTTTAAAGTCACGTCTAGACAGCTTGTTCATAGGCCACCAACCATATCAAATGCCAAAGAAGTTTTGGGTGGGAGTGGTGGGGGCTGCCACCGGAGGGGCCTGACGGAGGCTGTGTCTCACAGAAAAAATACAAGTATTGCCAGGCTAATCGAAGTGTGACGACTTCACTTTTACTCATTTTTAGCTAGTGATTCCAGCATTCTTTAGATAAACCTGAGATTCAGGATGAGAAATTTGGAAATGTAGCTACATAACACACCTCCATTTAAAGCTTTAGTATTAAGAGCTATGCTTAAAGCTCTCAGTGGATATGTTCTGTTCTTATAAATATCCTGGGATAACATTTTTTAAAATAGTAAAATATTTTAAAATATTTAAAACAAAATTGGCAGCTGTGTACATGAATAACACAACTTTCATTACAGGTGATGGTTTAAGTTAACATTGATATACAAAGGTTTTGCCAAAGCCAAACAGAAGCCACCTCAACGTCTGTCTCAGATAGAATAACTTACAGCAGTTCCCAACCTATTTGGCACCAGGGACCAGTTTCATGGAAGACAATTTTCCCCTGGGGTGGGAGTGGCAGGCAGAGCTGGTGATGCTAGTGATGGGGAGCAGCTGTAAATGCAGACAAAGCTTTGCTCGCTCGCCCGCTGCTCACCTCCCGCTGTGCAGCCTCCCAGTTCCTAAGTTTCACAGAAGACAATTTTTCCATGGACTGGGGTGGAAGGAGCACAGCGGGGAGGTGGCAGAGCTCTGTGGCCCAGTCCCTAACAGGCCACAAACTGGTACCAGTCCACAGCCCAAGGGTTGAGGACCGCAGACTTAAGTTAAACACAAAGAATGTCAAGAAGCCAACTTATCAAGGGAAGTTATGTCATACCTCTCTTTTCTAAACAGGGATGCCGTTATTGGAGATGACTCAGTTCAGTTCAACAATGTTGGCTGCCTACCACATGACAGGCTGTAGGTGCTAGGGACTGAAAGTTGAGTCTACCATGGCCTCTGTGTTCAATAAGCTTACACTCCTCTGGTTTGGAGTATCAGACTAACATAAAGGCAAAGAATTAGACTTAAATTATTAATTTTCAATTTGTACAACTGCTGCAACTACTATATACAGTCATATATATTGAATAAGGAAGGAATACATAAAATTATGGTAGCAAGCCTTCCCTAAAGGAGATCAGAATCTAAATTGTGAGTAGATATGAATATAGAAAAACAACAAGATGAGACAATACTCCAGGGATACTGGGAATACATTCTTTATCTGATGATGTAGTCAAGGTGGTCTCCAAAC